CTGAATCATCGTCGCTAGCATGTCCGTTTTGTTGAGGTGCTTGCTGCTGTGGAGGCTGATATTCGTCAGGCTGCTGTTCTTCGCCTGGCGTTGGGCTGCTTTGGGGCGAGGCACGATTAGAGATCCATTCGGCGATGGTGGTCTCTGACCCTCCTTCGACTTGGATCTCGCCTGTGTCGTGGCCACGACCGAGTATGGTACCATGGTACTTAGCGTCTTCGCCGGTTTTACTATGTTTCTTTTTCAAAGCTGCGAAGCCACTGTCAGCTGTGCTTTCTGGAAGCCATCCGTAGGAACCAACCATTGAGATAATCTGTAGCATCCGTCTCGCCGTCCCCACTGCCGACCTCCATCATCTCCTTCATGCGCTGCCCCGCGAACCACGCTATAAACTCTTCAACTCCGCGCAAGTCCTCTTCGCCGCGCCACATCTCTTCGGCAGGTACGCGTTCTGGCATCAGCGCACCCGCGTCCTGAAGCGCCATCCGTATATCAGCGATTGTGAAGTCGGCGCTGTCACCTTGATTATGCATCGCATGCTGGGCAGTGGTTTGGCAGAGAAGCGACAGGTATCGGGCGGCTAGATCTGTCAGGGAGTCGAGGACCGCGGGGCGCGTGGAATGATATCCTGTTGAGCGTAAGATCTGGAGTATGGAGGGCCGGAGAAGCGCGTGAAATAGGGACGGCGGTGTCGTCATATTTGTCTGGCGATGGTTGTAGTTTCTATGTGTGAGAGTAGATTGGTGATTTGGGCCACTGGGGTGCTCGGCTTGCGATCTTCAAAGGAATGCGTTCATAAGTTAATAAGTTGCTGATTCGTCTCAATATCGATGTCGCGGGAGCAAAGCTGGGCCTTCATCGGTATCTAAGGCTATGGCTTCACAGCGCATACCCGAACAATGTGCCTGAAATCTGCACAAAGTTTATTGAAGCTTGTTGCGATGAGCTTCTCCAAAGGTATGAAGTTGGCCCCTTTGGGGCAAGTGCAGATCAGAGCAGAGGAGGTGCAAGAATAATAGGCGCGGCCTAACAATAAAAAGAGTGGGACCCTTTCTGTAGAGCACCGAGAGTAATCCGTAGGCGCACGGCTTACACCAATTTGATAGCTTGTTGCGACAACAATGGAACGACATGGTTAACACCGAGAGAGAAACAATATAGAAGATCATTTCGAAACCCTTTCTCTTTAGTTCTGCTACATTGTGCACTGGCTTTGATCATCTCAGCAATAAGTAGAAGACTTTCGAACATAGCATTGTGATTTCTTTACCTTACATACCCACACTTAAGCTGTCATATGTACCGGCGATCAGGCTTCTTGTGATTAGGGTCATTGCAAGTTCATGGCGAGCTTACGATTAATCTTATGAGCCGCCTTGAGACACGTGGTACCATTATTCGCAGCTTTTGGTTATACGTAGGCTGCCACTGTCTCGGAAACCCACGAGATACCACGGGAGCCTTGTTCTGGTTACTGAATAATAAATCGACGAAATATATAATACGATTTCCTATCATATCACGCCATGACGCGTTTCCAACCTGAAAGCCTATCCAAGTGTTTTCCTCGAAACACAGTCTCCTCCCTAATATAATAGCCTAATAACATCCTTGGTGGTACAGACGTATTCATATAGTCATCCCCTCAGTCTGTTTCTGAAGCTTGGCCTGATCATCTGCGATGCCACTGTACTTGTTGATCCAATCCAGGACCTCTCTATGCCAAACGAGTGAGTTCTCCGGCTTCAGCACCCACTGCATCGATTATCAGCAAATAAACAGTATATACCAATTGTTTCGGCACTCACATGATTCTCATCAGGGAATATGACGAGCTTGCTAGGCACTTCGCGAGCCTGCAAGACATTGAACATGGCCAATCCTTCTGAGATGGGCAGTCGGTAGTCGAGTTCGTTATGAATGACCTAGAAAGGAGTGAGCATATTTCTTGTCGCCGCATGGTATCATGCTTACCAGCTGAGGGGTGGACCAATTGCCAGTGTGCAGAGACGGATCCCACTTCTCATATCCAGCACGGTTCTCCCACAATGTTCCACCGAAATCATGCTCGGGGAAGAAGAGCTCTTCGGTCGACCATTGGTTTTGTGTTGAGAAAACGCCATCATGGCACACTAAAGCTTTAAACTTACGGCCCAAATCATGACCTTGAATCCAGTCTGTTCTCATGTCAGTATAACTCCAGCCTAAGAGCGTTTGGACTCACTAATCATGTATCCACCGTACGAGGCTCCCAAAGCAACAGCTCGATCCGTATCAACATAATCGACATGGTCCTCGAGATACTCAAAACACTTCACCAGATCTTCGTATGGGGCACCTCCCCAGTGGTTGGCAATCGCATCAACATGAGCTTGCCCGTATCCTGTACTGCCAGTGGGGTTGGGACACACAGCTATGTAGCCCTGCTCAGCGAAGATGGCCGGGTTCCAACGAGTACTCCAATCATCTGTCCACGCTGATTGAGGGCCGCCATGTATTAGGAAGGCCAAAGGATACTTCTTGCTTTTGTCGAAGTGGGAAGGCAGCATCACAAGAGCGTGGTTATCATAGCCGGCGGATCCCGGGAACCAAATCTCTGCCACTTGCGACGTGGAGAGACCGAATGTCTTGCCGTTCTTGGAACTGGTGGAGATCACTTTGACAATCTTGGTCTCTGGGTCCAGGACTCCGTAGCTCGAGCTCTCGATTCGCGACTTGGATGTAATGAAGAGAGAGTCACTGCCTTCCAGAGTGTGTGCCTCAACGACAGACCCTTCTTTGTGAATGGCCTCGGGAAGATCACGAGCTTTCAGAGTATCAGACGGTAACTTCCAAAGCATTGATCTCCCATGTTTCTCAGCCGCAACATACAGCTCGGTGTCGTCTTTTTTCCAAACGACCCAATCAGGCCTCAAGTCCCAACCGCCCTCATCATCGTCTGTCTGGTAAAACTCTTGAACGTTACTTAAGTCGTCCACGTTGGGGATCAACAAAAGTCTTGTCTTATCAGATTCATACTGCTGGTGCTTCATTCTAGTAAATGCCAACCTCTTGCCATCATTGGAGAAAGTAGGCGCACTACTATAGCCGCGCAGTCGTCCAGTCTTGACGATCTGGGGCTGAGGAGGCTTGTCTGTCCAAGATCTGATGGGTACGTAGTACAGATCTGTCTTGGTGTTTCTCGCCGGGTTCAACTCTGGATCCTTAGCAACAAAGGCGATTCCATTCTCTGATATGTCAAAGTCCCCTGCTCCACCAAAAGGAGGGACAGGTGAGCTCAGTTGTGTACCGGCCAAGAGGTTTGTGAGCCCATCCTTCTCAAACACCCATCTACCATTTTTCTTGGTAATCACGCCATACCAAAGCGAGTTCTGATTCTCGGTGTTCCAGGCATCCCAGTGGCGAACGAAAAGGCCAGTATATATCTTGGCAGTTGTGTATGTCTTGGGCTCGGTTGCCTGCCAATACATGTTGCCCTTGGGTGTAGTCAATGCGGAGCATATGAACGCAACCTTGCCATCAGATAGTGCTTTTGCCTTTGGGTTAGAGACGCTGCCTGCAAAAGATTTGATCAAGCGTGCCCTGATACGTTTGTTAGCTTCATGGAGACGACATATTGGCTTTAATATATGCTCACTCGGAACCATCCAAGACATGCTGCTGATAGAGAGATGAGCATCCATTATCGTTTGTTCTAATCAAAGCAATTTCTTTCTCTCCAATCCAAATAGGATCGCTAAGATGAGCGTCCTCGGAAACGAGATGGGAAGAGTCATCTTTGATATTGAGAACACGGATCTGGAACGACTTGGAGTGGCTTTCGAATGAGTACGACGAGATCTGAATATGTTAGCATGAGTTTGACTGAAGACAATGCCAAGCTCTCCAACTCACCGTGTAGAGAACGAGCTCCCCAGTGGAGTTTGGGACTCCAGTTGAACGACGCGGGGCCGAAATCAGCACTTCAGGCGTGAACCGCGTGGCCTGCCTCGTCATCATGGAGACAGAGAGGGAAAGAATGTGGTGCTAGTAATTGGTGATATGATGGAGAAACAACGAAGTAAAGGACTTTTGGGGGTATTGGAGAGAAGAGAATCAAGAACCTGTCCAGTTGACATACTCATCATACAACCAGCCCCGGTATAGGTACAACCTACCTATAAGTGCTAGTACCATGGGCTCCCCCTCACGACTCCTCATTCTCATAACCAGCCACCCGCTCGGCCCCTCTCTTCCGGGTGAATCCACTGCTCGTGCTACCTTCCCTTATAATTAGTGCTACCTAACCTTTAAATCAAAGGTTCACAATAATACTGACCGAAGAATTTTACTTTAGTATGAAATTGATCCCTTGACATGCATCTATAGAAGTTGAAGGGATAATCAAGGTCTAATCTCACCGCGACCGCTGCGATTAGCCACAACCTTACCTGACCGACGTCGCGACGTCGCTTCGATCTGGTTCGTGTTGACGTGATAGCTTAAGAATGATTTCAAGATATGACACGGCCTGAACATACCTATGTATTGACAAATGGGAGACCATACACTGAACTTGACTTCACCCATAAGGCAATGAATTCCCAGTAACAGGAGAACTACCGTGAGTTCAAAATGTGACCTGGCATCAAGCAATTAGATCCTTACTTTACTGGGGTGATGGTAGAAAAACAGACATTTTTGTCTTGAGTAATAAAATACTGAGATAATCTAGGTAGTTCAAGGATATTCTAGGCATGCTGGAATGAGCTATGCACTCTTTGACGCGAACTCTTTAAAGGTATCCTGGGACCTTGACGGTTCCAAAATGCTTGATAACTTCCACTACTAATGGCATATTTTCGTGCAACTTCTAGCCTGAACCTACCATGACCTCAGTCTCAAGCCACCTTCTGTTTCGAGGCAATCTATACTATGAACCCCTAACGCCATCCTGACCATACCGTTGAGTCCATTCCCTGTTAAACGCCCAATCTCATGAGTATATCTTTGTGCATACGCTACTTGCGCTGTGCTCCAAAATTTGTTCGTTTCTTGCTCGTCGAAGTATCGTTTTCGCTGTCCTCGTGCTCGACCGTTTTCTTCTTCGACTTGCTTGCGTTCTTAACCGCAGTCGAAGATGTCGGTGTCGGGTGATTCGAGGGTCCGTCTCTAAATGCGGCTGATAAAGGTGTCGCGCCAGCTGGTGTCGAGCCTCCTGATCCAGGTGTGATGCCCTCCTACAACAAGCATGATTAGCCAATCCCGTATGATGCTGTGAATGATATTCGTCCATACTAGATTGTTAGGTCGGTAGGAAATCGACGACCTTGAGAAGACTCTGTTCTGTTCCATCGGACCAGCCTTTCGTCGCTGTGCTGCCGCGCCACTTATGCCCTTCATGTAATTGTCGAAACCGGTGATGATGTTTCCGCTCGGTGTGCTGTCGAGATATGCAGTTTCCTTTTGGGAGATGCTGTCTTCAACTTGTGTCTATGAAAATATCAGCCAAGTTCTAACATGGTTCACACTCAGTGGGCAAATGCGCACCAAACGTTTCTCTAGCATTCTGCGCTTCTCGACCAAATCCCGAACCCGAGCTTGCGCCTTCTTGTACTCGGACATCGTCACTTGTCCAGTACCAGCTACAGCTCCGTTCGATGCCTTTCTCTCAGCCATGCGCGTTGTTGCCTTAGCAGGTCGGCGTTATTGGGGTTCGACACTCGATGGATGTCCTCGTCAAATGGTATGATGAATGGTCGCGTTTGATAGCAAGGATACAAAGTTAGGTTGTGATTGGATAATGCGGGGCGCTTGAAAGGAAGCGCGGGGAGCCGCGTTAGACGCTCATGCACATCGGTTAAATCGTGGATTTAACCCCAAAACAACAACGAAAAGGATCAAGGCTGTAAATGAAGCAAAAATGAAATCCTGTGTATCGCAGGTGGCTGACTCTCTCGCCGGGAATTGAACCCGGGTCTCAAGCGTGACAAGCTTGCATACTGACCACTATACTACGAAAGATTGCCCAGGTTGAACCTGGTGTAGTGAGTTCTGTGATGGTGGAGCTCGATACCCAGATTATACCTTTAAGGCAGGAGGAATTCAGAAGCACTCCGCTCTCCTGTCTCCGATCTAGTCCAGATTAAACGCTTTCACTTGCTGATTGGAGGTGCTCCCACTTGACGAAAGCTTCAATTTATTTGATAATTATGTGTGTTTTTGGTCCTCTCAATATCCTACAAATAAAGCTTTTCTATAGGCTCCTGTTTTCCAACGCCGTAAAGTCAGTAATTGTAAGCATGGGTTTTATGCTCATGGCTCAAAATGGGCTTCAAGAAATTGTTAGCTTAGGTGTCCCCAAAAGAAGACAACCTCGTTCACTCTTATCCTCGTCTTGGTGACGCAGGCGTTGCAGGCAGCAAGGTCAAATCTTAGCGAATAAACCAAGTCAGTGATTGTGTCAGTTCAAAACACTATGGCCGACTGACCTCAGATACTTCATTCGGCCGGAACCTCTGCCTCGGGGTTGGTCGGCAGGGCACGAGATTCATCTTCAGAAACATCAGCTGAATTTTCTCGAATCCTTGATCGTGAAGAAGCTGAAGAACTATTCCGCCGTCTACCCTTGGGCGAATCTCTCTTCCTAGAGGGCTGTTGACCACCACGTCCATGATCCCGTCGTCTTTTGGTCCTGCGGTCCGGTGACGCGCTGCTGGAACGGCTGCGACTGCGACTGCGACTATAACTGTGACTTCGGCTCCGACTACGGGAGTCCGATGTCCGTTCAGATCGCGATGAGGAAATGTCTCTAGCCGGTCGTCTTCGACGAGTTAGAGAGCGGCTCCTTGATGAAGAGTAACGTCTGCGCTTTGGTGCAGGAGAATTTCGCTCCGAAGACAAAGATCGAGATGGACGAGCTGGCCGACCTCTCCCGGTACGTTTGTTTGCCCGTGCCCGATATGTATCTCCTCTGGGTGATCGCGACCGCTTGCGTGTGTCAGCTTGTTCCCCAGGGGAGACAGGTCTTCGTCGTTGATTCGATTTATCAGTGCTTCGAGAGGCGCTGCGACTTCTTGAGCTCGGCCTGGGCGATGCCGATTCCGAACGTGGTCGGGGGGGCGATTTTCGGCGGCCTTGGTCGGCGCGTCCACTACCACGTCTTCCTCGTGGAATGTAACTATCACGCGCATATGAGTCCCTGGTATCACGGAAGCGAGGGCCGGGCGATCTTGATCGACGACCTCCCCTCCTGAAACCCCCTCTGCCCCGGTTTTCGAAATCACGGTCACCTCGGCGCCCTTGCCAGGTATCCCCACGAGCAGCAGCCCGGTCGCGGCGGTCGCGGTCTTTCAGATCGGCTACTTCACGGTCACGGCGATCCCAGTCGTCTCGTCTCTGTTTAGCAGTTTCTGCAGCGCGGTCGGCCTCAATCTGAAACAGATGCCATCAGAAATCGAACTGTACAGGATTAGGGGTTGGCATACCTTCTCTTGGATGAGCTCCAGCTTCTTGGCCTCGAGGAGCTCCTTAGGGACGCCTTGGGGACTACTTTGGGCACTCAGCAATAACTTCCACAGGTCTTTGCAGAACACGGCCGTGTCCTTGTCGAGAAACCCTGTTAGTTGTATTTGCAGTGACTTGATATCCGGCTATTGTACATATCAGCATTTTGGACTTGTCGGGGTTGGGTAAACATACGTATCGCGGTCCTTCGATGAGATTGAAGACGAGTTCGATAACCACATCATCTTCGCTTCCCAGGATATCGGAGATTTTGCTCGCGATCCATCTGAATGGAGGAGTTAGCACGTTGTAACACGAGGCCGGCAATCAGATCACGCACTTCTTCATGACTTGCAAATTAACCTTTTGCATGTCAACCTTCTGGCTAAACTCGGGGGGAAATCTGGTCGACTTCAAGAGTCGCGCATCTACCCCGGTGGCCATATTGGAGAAGTCGCAATAGCAGTTTGATATCGTAGTATGAAGAGACGCGTTGTTGAGAAAAAGTTGCTAGGGAAGAAAAGTGACGTCGCCAGCACAAGCTCGGAGCCTCATGCAGAATGCCGGGTAGTGTATGTGCACGGACCAGTATTTTGCATGGAGTGCGGGCTTCTACGCACACCACCAAACAGGTCCCTGCACTTCTTTTGTTGTAGGGAGGATGTGCACTGAAGAGTCCTGAAAGCTCTCCGCCGTCTAAGCGGCGTCACCCTTCGCAGCCTGGGACAAAGACTCGGACGAGTTCACATATACCCTTTCTGCCGACAACATAGGAAGCTCTCCGTTTCAGAAACTTTACTTTTATGTGTCTCCATTCCAACAATGGAAAATCTACACACGCCGACAGTGCCCTCAGGGGAAACCACTGCTCCTGTCACGAATGGCCATGCGGGGCATCTAAGCTTTGCAGAGTTGCAGCGAAAGAAGGACGATATTGAGGCCGAACTCAAGGCTTTAGGAGGGGTGCTCGACTCGGTAATCGCAAGCTTACAAAATAACGTTCATGATGCTCTAACACGATTATAGCATGGGGTTGATATGAACACTTCTCTCCTGACAAACGATGGTTTCCCTCGTGCGGACATTGATGTTGCTCAAAGTATTTCATGATATCCAGATTCAAGATTCGACCACTGACAGCGTGACAGTCCGGACTACACGAGCTCGCATCATTCGACTGCGGAATGACTACACTGCTCTCATGACCCGGATTGAGGAATTTCTCCATGACCATTTCGCAAGTCTTGATGAGAATGAATCTGCGCCAGTTGCAAGCTCGAGTAACTCACAGGGCATCCTGCCAGACTCAGTTTCTACACCGTTAGACCCTCCTTTTGCCAAGATCAACACCGTGGCTGCAGGAAGTCCAGCAGAAACTGCCGGTCTGAAACCTGGAGACGAAATCCGGAACTTTGGATATGTGAATCGAGCCAACCACGACAACCTCAGAAAGGTGGCAGAGTGTGTCCAGGGTAACGAAGGGGTAAGTTTGTGCTCCGATTTAGTACAGAAAACCGCCAGTTGACAGTACATTAGAACAACGTTTTCATCAAAGTGTCGAGGCCAGATGGTGTGGCCGAGCGGCAAGAGTTGCGACTGACGTTGACTCCAAGAAAGGACTGGGGTGGGCGAGGATTGTTGGGCTGCCATATCTTGCCCCTATAAGTCGAGTTGTCACGAAATCCATGATAAACCAGAAAGCCTATGCCTAATCACTCCGGGCGAGGTAAATTGGTGGTCGAGGTAGATCGAGACGAATTATCTCAAGGATTGTGCTTTGGCCCATATCCGGTTACTGGAGTGATTTGCATCCATCAATCCATCCACTGGCTTCCTCTAGGGCCTCAAACCTTGCCGCTATCCAGACACTACTCTCACGATGCATGTGATTAGAGAAATCGCACCCCCAATTTGCAAAGGCAAAAGTGGATCATATAGTACTATGTCTCATGCTGATATAACGAAACTTTTTTTTTAATCCATTGTGATTGAATGAACTCACAAATGCGGTTCTCTGTGTAATCTAGTAAGTCCTTAGTTTGACTTATTAACTAGTGGCAGATGGTAAAGACCTCGAACTTTGAACCGTGTCAAATGAAGGGATCTAAATGAGTAGCATACTTGTATAGTATGGTGCAGTTTTGGTCAAAGAGAGACAATCCGCTTATTTGTTTCTCCTAGCACGAGAGTCATCGGCCTTCTCATGACTTAAGGGCTGGTTAGATTATCATTCGACTGGAGCCAGAGAAGGCAGCATGATTTGCGGGAATGTGTAATTGGTCAAGGGCGACTTCACTGTTCACCTATGCTACTGGTATATGGTCATTTAACAACACCACGTATGTTAATCAACGCACTTTGTAAGAGGTGTATATTCACTGGCGCCAGCAGATTAGCAATGTCCTTTGTATTTGTTGTCTAGAAAACAGTAAAGGTGTGCTGGACACTCTCATGGAATCCGTATATGGCCTCATGATAAGAGGCGGCCAACAGATACGGAAAGCTGTTTGTCAGATGACAAGGTTCATTGATGACAGCCTGAATACCTAGTCTATGTAAGGGATTGATGAAGCAAGAAAGCTTGCAGGAAGAGTAAAAACAACCAATAAAAGCTCGTGATACCCAGCAAGAATTGGTACCTAAAGATGCCTAGAGCTTGCCTGCAAATGCTGACTAACCCATATTGATTCAAAGGATATGGAGTGAGGTAAGGTAGCTAGCTAGCTCACTCGATCCATGATATCGGGGTGCAAGCATGGATCTTGCAAGGCCTGACTTACTTGTACAAGTACGGAGTACAAGCCTTGAGATTACCTCACAAAGAAAAATGACGAATAACCAAGGCACCACTAGGCAGCCCAGCACAGATTGAGCCAGCGAACAGGAAGACGCAGAAGACCGAATCGATTGGGCGGTGCCCAATAATAACACAGAATTGCTCCAAGGCGGTGACGGTGATGGCTGGTGATGGAAGGCCATAAGGTGGATCACTCGCAGCAAGCTGGAGGCACTGAATGGGCGGGTATCACGTGCAGCTTATCCACTCGAAGGTAGGTAGGGGCGACTGAATTTTTCGCTTGAGGTCCTTCCCTGCCCAAAGTCCCCCGCCGCTCTCAAAACATCAGGTCGACCTTGAAAGTTTGTCAATCAATCTTGGGTATACCCACATTGTCAACAACGGTTTTTTCAGGTATTTAGGATCCATTCCCTCAGCATCACTTCGCACCGACGTCCATCTCATTCTATACCCATTCGATCGACCGTCTTGCGCTGTTGCCGACCGCTCAACAGAAGCTAACTTACGCTCTCAGCACCCCGCTTGTTTACATCCTCTGCATCTGTCGCTACAACACCACAGACACAACCATCAAGATGGCTGAGCAGCAGACTCCTACCTTCAAGCTCGTGCTTGTCGGTGACGGTGGTACCGGAAAGGTGTGTAGGTTCCTATGACGCAACATTTCTTTCGCGATGTTATCAACGACGTTCGAGCCCTACTCCACCAAGTCGATTCTCGAGAGATATGAAGCGATCCCCATCCCGCATCAACATCGACTAATCATCATGTGCGATAGACCACCTTCGTCAAGCGTCACTTGACTGGTGAATTTGAGAAGAAGTACATGGCCACTCTCGGTGTCGAGGTTCACCCTCTTGGCTTCACCACCGTAAGTCTCGCGACCCCACGTTGACCTATGCGGGGCACTAATCCATCACAGAACTTCGGTCAGATTCAGTTCGATGTCTGGGACACCGCCGGTCAAGAGAAGTTTGGCGGTCTCCGTGATGGTTATTACATCAACGGCCAGTGCGGTATCATCATGTTCGATGTTACTTCCCGCATTACCTACAAGAACGTTCCCAACTGGCACCGTGAGTCCCCCCCGCCCATGATATCATCAAACCCGTGATTGACAATATTCCAGGTGATCTCGTCCGAGTTTGCGAGAACATTCCCATCGTTCTTTGCGGTAACAAGGTCGATGTGAAGGAGCGCAAGGTCAAGGCCAAGACCATCACTTTCCATCGCAAGAAGAACCTCCAGTACTACGACATCTCTGCCAAGTCCAACTACAACTTCGAGAAGCCTTTCCTGTGGCTCGCCCGCAAGCTTGTCGGAAACCCTCAGCTTGTAAGATGATATCTCACGATCTCTTGACACTTGAATCAGCATGCTAACTAGATATGGTAGGAGTTCGTTGCTGCTCCGGCTCTGGCTCCACCCACTGCCCAGGTCGACGAGAAGCTCCTGGAGGAGTACCGCAAGGAGATGGATGAGGCCGCCGCCATGCCTCTGCCTGGTGAGCTTTCCGACGACGATCTGTAAATGACTCGTGTGGTTACGGAATACTTTTGTTGAGGAGGATGCTGTCAAACATCCAAGGAACGATGCATGGGCAGTATTTGAGGATGGCACATAGGCAGCCGAAATGACCATTTATGAGATACAGGGCGAAAGTCCTGGAGTTTAGAGTAGCATGATTATGGGGCGGCACAAAAGACGGGCCGTCATGCCTTTCTTTGGGGCTCAAGGGGCGGTACCACTGCAAAGAGCAGTGTCTTATTTAGTTTAGCTAGACTTCCTCCACCAAAAACAACAAATAGGGCCAAGTTTGCGTGGCTTGGCTAGGACAATGACTAATGGCCCCTTGATGGAGTTCAACGTGCAATTGTGCCTAAAGTGATCATGTAGATATGTAAGACATGTTCAAAGCGGTGGTTCGGTTCCGAGCATTTCACAGCGAAGAAGGGTAGATTTGAGGGTACTTAATTGAAGTCTAGGTACAGTCGACGGGCACACCCATGTGACGATGAGGTTGGCATACCTAGGTAAGGTACATACAGATAGATATGTGTAACCCCAGTTGTCGGAACTGTTAACCTACAGCTCTTCGTTTGTACTCAAGGAGGCGCTACGGTACTAGGTACTAGCTGGTTATACTGTGGTGCCACGACTTAGGTATGAAAGCTCAATTATTACCGTTGATTTGACAATTCTGAGCTTACCCATATTCTGCATGCAGCCTCCCGGTCTCTTCTGAGGTAGCCGCGGGAGCCTTGCAGTAATCTTCTGCCGAAACGTGAGCAGAACTTTACACTGCTCGATCAATCCCTAAGCATAGGTAGCTATGAGAATCCTTCGTGCTGGTAGAGAGTCTGAAAGAGGACTGGACTTTCATTACCAAGCCATAATATTTTCTCAAACGCACAAAGACATTATCAAGGACCATGGTTATTATCCAAATTGAGAAGATCGCATTAACATTGCCTCTTGTGGCGATATTTCTTTGAATACCTTATGCCAGTGACCTGAGCTTAACATTAGTATCTATAGCACAACACGACCTAGGTAGTTGTGAATACCTGCCCTTTTTGTACATTGAATGTATATAAAACCAAAGCCTCCATGTGGATATGAATCTTTAATTCGTTATCGACATCGGCACATATGATGGCACGAGATCCCTGGTAAGGTAACTTAAGCTACCCGGACCTGGCAAGAAGTAGATCCGATCGGATTAGCCAATAACACCAACAGCAGCTCTCTGTGAACGCTGATTCGTAAGCTCAGATTGATAACACAATAAACACCGGTAGAAATCTAACTCAAAGGGTCATCAAAGTTACTGTACTAGCCGACCGTTAAAACTGTGACATCCAATAGTTCCCAGTGATGCGGAATAAAACGTGATAGTAGAGGATCTTGATGAATGTGTGAATCAAGTCCTGCGGTACTCAGGTGGTACAAACTTGAACCCTTGTTGCAAAGGAGGAATTTGAATTCCAAGGCTAATAAGTTTGAAATACGCAAAGCTTTCCGAAGCGCGTCTCAATACCTACTGACATATATGCTCTGTTTGTGTTTTTTTTGTTGATGCAGTAGTCCGGATGTGAGACGCGTTTATTAGAGGACCCATCAAAACAATACGAAACATTGGAGCCGTGAATGGATCCATAACTACGTGGGCGATATACGAGAGACTAAAGTGGGCGTCGAAGTGTTAAGCAATCGATATCACAAAAGTGAGGAATTTGGAGAACTCCATCCTCAATAATGAATGAGGGAACGTAGATGATATAAGAGGTTTACATTCAAAGTCGCAGTTACAAGGATCCAGCTGATGGAAGAATGAACTTGAGATTAAGCTTGGCAGTGTGTTTGTTTATTTAGGTTAAGTTCCTATTTAAAAAGGATGGATGGCGGGCATGACACCCCTGCGTGCTGGCGCATGCAGCCACTTAATGAAACAGGGGTGTCAATTGACCACAGGATGGTCCCCAGGATCGCTAATACCACTTGTTAATTGACTACGTGGGGCAGCATGGTAACTGAGAAACAAGGGAATGGAGAAAGATTGATGAGACTATGTGATTTTGTCTCTTTGCGTCGTCCACAAGGCACAAGACGACTAAAACGCAATCGGAAACATGTGCGGCGTGCCCAACTGATATCTGAATGCATTCGTATGCATAATCTATGCAACGGGATGACTAGCTGCATATCGACCAGTAAAAGGTTGCTTGAAAAAAAAAACTTAACTAAGAGCGAGCCTGTTTGTGTGGCTTACATGCTCTACCCATCTCTTCAAAGTTCAAGCGGGACAGAAAAAATAGAGTTATACCTAGCATTTCACGCGTTGTGATTGTCCTGTAGCGCGTGTCTTTTTATGTTATTGCGGGGTGGTGCAAAAGGAAAGGGGGAAAACAGTGCTTCATATCCAAACTACTTAACGTAAGGGACGAGCCAGATTTTCTCGTATCTGGCCGATAAAGATTTATGTATCTGGAATAAGACATTTTATATGAAAAGCTTAAACAATCAAGACACGGTGAGACACGCTCTTGATACCGCGTTTTTTTAAAACTGGGTTATCAAAAAAAGACAAGGCGGGAAAGCCAATCTAAAAGAACAGAATGTAGATCTAGAAAGGTCGGTAGGGGAGGTTGGTTGGTTTTTTGTTATTGCTGGGTTCTTGTCACCCATGTATGGTGCAGGTGGCCGCCAGCTGTTAGCATCTCAGGAGCCACGCGCGGCGGATGGATACGTAAATTGACAGGGGTGCGCGTTTACTATACAAGGTTTACGCGGAGGCACAAGCGCCAAAAGCCTCCAAGACAAATGGGGTTTCCTTACAGAGTACAGAGGGGACTCCACTCGAGGGCCTAGGTACGAAGGGACGGCTTTCATCCTACCTTACCTAGGCGGGCCGCCTCGTTTTAGAAGCACGCCTGCCAACATCAAGACAACCTCGTTTTTCTTCTTTCTCTTCTTCACTTGTCACCTTCATTATTATCTCAGAAAGCTTTCACACCATCAGGTCTGATTTCGCCCTCATCTTGCAGGCTGATCTCTAAGTTGATACCTCCCGATTGCTGTTGTTTCTTCTCCAGAACACAAATCTGGCGTCTCTGACTGGGCGGTAATGCGTCTGAATCTTCAATAAGGCCATCTCCATTACCCTCTTCTCTACCGCAATCATGGCCGACTCTATCAAATCTCCTTCTTTCGCCGCTACGCCCGATAAACACGCTCCTCCAGCCCCGCGTTTTCACGACATCGCTGTCACGCCCCAGAGTCTCCCTCCTCTCGCCGATGTGTCAACCAATTCAGCCGTATCTGCAACTGATTCGGAGAAGCATCCCAAGGGGAAGAGGAAGCGGACAACGTATGTTGATCTACCTGATATTTCAATTCTGGCTGCAGCGATGTATTGGAAGGACTGAGCTAATTTTGAATTGATGGCGTTGTGCAGGGCAAAAGACAAGATGGTTCTGGAAGAGGCATACAGCAGTAACCCTAAGCCCGATAAACAGGCGCGCCTGGACATTGTCCAGCGCGTATCGTTAAGCGAGAAGGAAGTTCAGGTATGGCATTGACAACATTGCATTTGCTGTTGGATCCTGGCATTCACATGGCGACCTACCACGCGTCTTTCCACGGGGTATGAAAACACCAAACTAACATCATCCCCCCCAGATCTGGTTTCAAAATCGAAGGCAGAATGACCGCAGGAAATCTCGTCCTTTGTCACCAGGAGAAGTTGCTGCTCTTCATCATGGAATTATGCATCCCTCGACTTTCGACCCAATTACACACACTACAACTCCAAGCAAACCCGAACATCCATTTCCAGTGTCCGAAAGTTCTATATCTCGATTTGGAGATCCCATCTCTGTGCCCCCTCGACATCTCGACCGGACACCCTCCATGCCACGATATCACTCAGACCATGTGAATAGCACTCCAATCCCCCTTGGCCATGACAGTTTTCGCTACTATTCTGACGCCACTCCTAACCGCATCGATCCTACTCTTCCACACGAAGCTCGAGATGTGTCCCATTCCTTGTCAAGCTCTATATCTAGTAATGTTGGCTACCTGTCCAACCGGTGGAATGCTGGGGCCACTTCATTCTCTACGCCAGCTGCTTTTGCCCGCAGCGGTGATGATTCATTCAGGTATGCCGCATACGATTATACTAGGTGTGCCTTGACTGATCAAAATAGATTTGATACGTTCCCTCCGTCCTCATGCGCTTCTGATCGTGTCATTGCTACCCCCCTCTCCCAAAACCAGCCCAAAGTTCACCTTTCTACATCCTTAGACGGAAAGGCAGAGTTAGTCTCCAACCAAGGCTCTCCTTCACGTGAATTACCTCCCCGACCATCCTCCACAACGCCATATTTGCCTGACGAGCGACAGCGCGGTCTTCAACGAGGCCTACAACGTAGTAGCAGCGCTGTTACTCTCCCTCCCTTGTCGGAACTCACTAGCAGTTTGCCTCCTAGTCTTGTGCGAGGTCGGTCTCGTGATGTGCATGCCTGGGAAAAATGCGCGGACGCTGAGAACCGTGATGAGCTGACAGCGCAGGCCGAGTACGAGTCGAACGGATCGGCGGCTGCAGCTATCAACATCCTTCGTTCTACGAGCGGGATTCTTCAACCAAGTAACGCCAAACGCAACGCTCCCATGACAAGGCCCCAACGACCTCACCAGGCAAAGAAGGCAAAGCTGGATCCTACTGGGTCAAGTATTTCACGACTAGACGCGGACTTGGACGAAAGGGAAAAGGCTGACAGGGAGCATGGCAAGGTGAAGGTTTCGATTTTGGTCTCTCCGACAGGTGGTGACTCGGATAAGGAGAACTTGAGCCCTGACGAGGAGACAAGTTCGCCAGACCCTTACCACCGTCGACCTTTGCCACCTGCACCCAAACATGTTGGCGATAACCCTCGACGAGTTGGCCGAGCGCTGCAGGAGCAAAGGAGCCCGAACTTACTCGCAAACCGCGCAAACATGGCGCCCACACGACCACGTTCCATCGTCAAGGAAGGATTGGAGATTTTCCAGGACAGGATGAAACCAGTGCTGTCTTCCAGGGAACCAGATATGGTTCGAGGTTCCATCAGTCCTAGTAAAAAGCCCGACATGGACTGCGTGGCAGGTCTTCTTTCTCTCAGCCAAGGAGCTTGGAGGTGAAGAGAGGATAAAAGGAAAAACTGTATCTGTAGATGCTGGGGAATGGAACCACGGGAAAGAGCGAAATGACCTTGACATAGCCTAGGTTGACTGTTGTCGTTTCCTCTTCCGTGGCAGATAAGGAATCACTTTCTTGCACGGCTCACACGAGTCTCGTTCTCGATGTTTACAGCTGTATAATGTACGGTAAAGTCCTGATTCATGGCGGCACGGGATTTGGGATTTGGGATAGAGTTCGGCGCCTGGAATTTGTGCTTGTAACTATCTTCATACTCACGTACTGTTACTTGATGTGATGGAGAAGGGAGCCAGCCACTTGGCTTCCTGGATGGAAGAAGAATTGACAATAAAAGACTGTCTCACAGAACCATCGAGGAAAGACTCAGTTTGCCACTCGAAATGGTACAATAATGACCAACAAATAATGATATTGAAAGAGCACTTTTGCAAAATCTGAGGTTACAGAAGACGGAAGGACAGCCGTTACTCAGTTGACCTAAGACGTAAGCATATTCAGAAGCCTATCGAAATTGAAAACGCCACTTGAGTTTATTCCGTAGGAATATATCCTTGTCAAATTCTTATGACACTTTAGAAACCCAGCTATTGCTTATATTGCTCCCCAAGGCACCATTAGGAATCCGTGTCAACCAATCCTACAATGTCCTTCTTTCGTCGCTTGAGAATTGAAGAGGCACTCGAGAGATTACGCTTATTCTCCCCCTGACGGGCATCTTGCTGTTGAGCTATGTGGCCACATATTGTGTATTGTCTCGACCAGATCGTAATCTGTCTTACATCTAAATGTCTAAATATTTCTTGCTATAGTTCCAAAACCACACCACTTTGCCATTCCGCTTATATCAAAATAAAGAAAAAGCTGATCTATCATTGTACCCAGATAATCTGAAATGACAGACAATAATTGCAACGCCGCCAACACCATGCCCAAAACCAGCTCTTATCCAAGGCCGCTGATGCCATGTACTTTCCTCACATACCCAGAAGGCTCATTTGCCGACGGATGGGGCTGGCACTGACACTACCATCTTCACTTGCGTAGCATGCACTGTCAGTGTCAATGTCCCAACCGATATCGTCATCATCGTTGCAACTATCTCCAGTGTCGGCGTCGAAGGGCTTCTGTGCGGAAGCTCTAACGTTCCAGCGAAGAGTACGGCTCACGCTGTCAAACCACTCTGTATCGGTACGTGTCACAGTAGGGAAGGGGTACTGAGAGGCAGTGATTGTGACGTGGTCACCTTGTCGCAGCTCAAGTCGACCCTTGCCATCAAAAGCGCAATAGGCAGTGGCTCGAGAATTCCGAGGAACAACAACTCGAAGAGCCATGGTATCAGAAAGAACCATGGGGCGGAACGATAGTGTATGAGGGCAGATGGGTGTAAGAAGGATGGCGGGAATGTCAGGGTGAACAAGAGCGCCACCGGCAGATAGAGAATATGCTGTAGAGCCAGTCGGGGTGGAGAAGATGCAACCATCTGCTTGTACAACAGTAAGGAGTTCATCATCACCGTAGAGCTCCAGGTTGGACACATAGGGAGAAGGACCACGATCGATGACGAGTTCGTTAAGAACTTCGAATTGCTCAGGTTCTTCGAGTTTGGGTGCGTCCAAAGCACCGGCTCCACGGTTGCTGCGATGAACAGTACACGTGAAGCGCATGCGGAGGTTAATCTTCATGCCATCATCGCCCATGACTCTGTTGAGATGTTCTTTGTACTTCTCAAACTCAAATGTGGTCATGAAACCTAGACTTCCCAGACTGAATGAGAGCACAGGAGGTACAATGCGCTGGAAGAGCCATGAGGTGAAGAGGACGGTGCCATCGCCACCAAGAGTCAAGACAAGATCGAACTTCTCGGGCTGACTCCAGCACAAATCGGGTGTCCAGTACTTAAGCATGTGCTGGAAGCGCGGGTTCTCGGCAAGGAGACCAGATGAGTCGAAACGTCGTGAGTTGCGAAGCTTAGCATCGACGTAGACATTCACGCCCAGGTCGGAGCCATAACGTGGGGTTCGTAGAAGCCACCCGGCAAGCTCACGAGTAAGGTAGACGAGCTGGTTGTCGCGTGCCTTGGTGACAATCATGATGTTGCGGACTGCACGCTTGATGGGACGGCGCTGAAGCTGCTTGGAAACCTCTCGAACACCAGTTGCAGTCGCGACAAGACGCGAATGTGACATGGAAACATCATTCTTGATTTCCTCGAGGACCTTGCCGATGTCCACTGCATCAGCAAATCGCTGATGGTAGAAACATGGCGACTGTAAAGTTGAGGCGAGAATGGTAGCGGCCATATCAGATGAAGTTGTGTCATGACTGGAGGTGGAAGTATAAGTCCGGGCGGTGTTGGGTGTGTTAATTGCGCCCGTTGTCAAGCGAGACTTGGCGAGGTCATTGAGAGCATCAGTTAGGCTTTGCGAAGGCGTGGCAGCGGCGGAGCTCTTGGACACACTCGTGAAGCCAGGTAGAGGGCCAGCCGAAGAGGCTGGTGGAGAGTTAGACTCTGAAGGTTCCATCTGGCGAAGAGAAGGCATGTTTGTGTGTGGAAGGGCGAGTGACAAAGCGTCGGGTTTGTTGTGTCGGATCACCGAAGCCAAAGCCCTCGGGCCAGAATTAGACCGAAGTGCGTCTTTCTGAGTTGAAGAAGACGAAGCTGATTGATCTGCAGTTGACGCGGGTAATGGTGAAGTGGAAGATTGTGAAGAGGGCGAGCTCAATGAAGTTGTGCCTTTTGGGGCAGATGACAAAGTAGAGGCTCCACAATCTTCCAGGAGAGTTTGAGGTTTTAAACGATCCGAGACTGACAACGACAAAGGGGATGGGGACAATGTAGAGAACACACTTGGCTGCTGAACTTCTAGTTGTGTGGTCTGAACAGTGTCCGAGTTTAGACTTGTATCGGCGAGTGTGCTCCTCTTATTAAGGACTGGTGAATGGGAAGAGAGAGCAGGAGACAAGCAATACCCGTTGTCTCGGGGGCTGCCAAGAGCTGGGTGGAGAGCCGTGGGAGACAGTACGCCTGTCATACTTCCGTTGCTGGCGGAGGAGGCTACCTAGGTACTTCGGTCGGTAGACTTGGAGGGGAGGGGGAAAGGAATTGGCGGATGAGGCCCTGTAAGTGACCCGTAACGTGGAACAGATGGGGGATGTTAGACCAGGACCCTAATAGGATAGAATCCCAAAATTAGATGGGGTCCCAGTGTAACGAGCACGCGATGTCTCTCGTTGTCTTTGTTTTTTATCGTGTGCTTTCCCACACAATACTTGATAATTCGACCGACTTTTGCTCAAGCGGACTTGTTCACTGCACAGTGATGTTCTCGACGAATCCTGGCGGCGATAAGCAATAAGCTTGGCCGATGGGATTTCCGACACAGGTGAGCGGGCCGCGGAGACAAGCGGAGAAAAGCTTCGGAGTTGATAAGTGTGAATGACAATGCAATGCCGTACTTGTAACCGTATCAGGTACAGTACCGATCACGCTCCGACGATCGAATCTCACTCTATTCCAGTTTGCGCTGCACACGGGGAGTGAACCCTCCAGGGGCTGGCTTGACAAAGCAAGATACAGATGACGTCGCAGTGCAAGTCTGTTCTTACCTCGCTTCCCCTGTGATCCCCCGAATGGAATACAAGGATGTGCTGATAGAGCGGTTGATGTACTGATACAATCAGTCACCGTTTACCCTGAATATCAAGATATTAATAGACTCTCGTCCAATAATCTCGCCTTGATGCAGCGCAGTGCAGCAGGGTTGTAGAATATCCAATTAGGAAAAAACAGTAGCAACCCACTCTTGGAAATCGAAAAATCGAGAAATCGAAAAGTGATATCCGCAACCCCCGTGACGAGCTATCTTTCTAGCCGTTGTCAAATCTCGTCGAGAACCCCAGTCTGTTGCGGGGATGAGACGCCCACTCACGGAGATACGCTAGGGATGTCGATAGCTTCTTGAGACGCAAGAGCCGAGCCGAGCGGGAGGGACACGCCGCTATTGGTGGTGTTTGTGATGAGAATCCTTAGTCGCAGCAATACACGATGCACGTGGGTGATGTGAGCAGCTGGGATCAAGCACCAAGAGACTGGTTAGACTAGATCCTGAGGTTGTTGGTCGTGCTGTTGGTTGATCTTGTTGGTTGCAGTGCTCGGCTGCCGACTTTATATGTTGCTCAAATTCAACGTCACGACGACGGCGGCAGTTGATTCAAGATTGAGGCTGTGAAAATGAACCTTCTTTTGCAATCCACAAAGTGCAACCGGAATTTCGGGAAGAAACAGCGAAGAGCCACACAAAGAAAAGAATTGCTGCAAGGCAAGGATTTCGGGATCTCTTTTGGCTGCAGTGCAGATGTAACACAACACGACACGGCCGCCAGTCCAAAGCTGCAAGCCACAAATATGTGATGTAAGTTTTCAACGACCAGCGAAGAAGATAGGTTGTCGAGCAGATTCAGCCCTCCAAAAGAATATGAGAACCAACAGGTTAAATTACTTGGCGCCAATGGGAAGGTTGTGACAAAGAAGACGGAGACGCAGCAAGCGACCAAGAATGTTGGTGACCAAGCGAAGGAATAGAAAAAGAGGCCGTGTAAGCGAGAGGCGAAGATGAAAAATAAAGTGGGCGATTTTGCACGAGACTCACAGAGTCTTGTCGGCGAACGCGTGATTACAATCAATGTAAAGAAAAAGAACAAGAACAAGATATGAGTGCTCGAAGGAGAGTGTTGAGACCGGCTACCGAACCCAAGAAATTTGCTGTGTTCTCTAGCTGGGCTTTAATAGTCTGACTTCATTTTCCTTGCGTGTGTTTTCGAATATCGCGAGCTATAAAACCTGCCTCTATCCCCTGTGTTTTAGCTCCAGGGTCCCAGCTTTGGGGGGCAAGGAAAGGCTCCCGTCGTGGAAGTCCAGCCCCTTCCACCGGAGGGTCGACCCTGGTAACCCCTTTCTCAGCCTAGAACTCCTTGTCACAAA